TGACCGCACGTATATCCAAGGCTCGAGCAGCGTACGCAGTACTGAAACACGTCTGGCGTCAATGTGAATTTTTCTTGAGGTAGAAGGTTCGGGTATAATGTGACACTATGCGATCCATTCCATTTCATGGTTGTGAAGCGCTGCATTGCCACATGAATGTTTTCAACCGTCAACGTTTGAGTCGTTTGGCGCGAGTGGGATCGGTCGGGTGAATAAATAAGCTGTTCGATGTTAGGTGGAAATTTGCAACCACATCTGATTCCGATGAGTAGGTTTCGCTGTTTAGGAGACCTGTTGCGCGTGCCTAACAGTTATTCACCTCACCGGGCCTTGTTTGTAGTTATTATTGTTCCAGTGTGCAGCAAATCACACAGAGGCCAATAGACGGCCTGAAGAGAGGTGTGCAGAAATGTATGCAGCTTTTTTAATATAAATAAGCTGTTTTTGACTACAACGACATGAGCGTGGACCAGCAAGCGGAATTATTTACAGCAGAAAGTTCACTTCTGGGAGTGGAGTTTCCCTCGAACGAGAAATACAGTCAGCATAAACAATATAACGTGGATAGGAAGAATAATAGTCGGGCAACCCTGGTTAATGGTTGTAAAAGCTGTACTGAGCTAAACTGTTTACACTCCCAAGTGATGAACTTGATGTTGCTGCAGGAGGATCTCATCACTGGTTGCTTATTCTTTTTAAGAAGCCCTGCTTGACGGTATATTTCTTAAGGAATCGCAAGGAGACGAAACAACCTAGGTGAGATTGTTGACAGTGTGCTACCAACAGTTTTGGAAGCAGCGGTCTGCCGTGTGAACTTGCGCTTACGTTTGAATTAATTAGGCTAACTGGTCAAACAGATTTAACGGTTACACAGAGGTAGAAAGAATACTTGGAGTTGCTGCGTGTGAGGGCCGTTCAATTAGCTGAGTTAGCGGTGGTTGGTGAAGTAGTCTTAAACACGAATGATTGGGTGCCAAGTATCTTGGTAAAATTGTTCCACAAGGTAAGTGCTGGAATGCAATTTATGAAATAGACAAATTTGGTAGTGGTCATTGGCGCCGTGATGGTAGCGTCATGAAAAAAATTCAGGCGAATCTTTACTAAGCATTTACAAAGCGCAGCATATATACATACGGAAAGTGGTGGTATGAGCACATTTTTCTGTCTTGTGTATCCTAAGTTAAACTTTGTGTATGTTAACCGAATTAATCGATTGTTCTCACATGTTGCATCGTTCTATAACCTAATCGCATCTTTTATTTGACAACTTAAGAAAAAAAAGTAAACAGTGCACATGCCTTGATGAGAGACTGTGAGGACTATAGGATGTACTCAAAGCGGCTTCACAGTTAGATACATACAATTTCAAGTATCCCATTTCGAGTTTTATTGCAGTTTTATGGATGGTGGTGGCGCAGTGGTTTAATCCCAGTCACCGGCGTGCTTTGGACCCGATGGTTCAAGGTTCGAGCCCCGCCACCTCCACTCAACTGTGGTGGTAGGCAGCTTTACTGTCGTCCTGTTCAACACCACGCCTAAACTAACGGGGCTTTATGTGGTTCGCCACTCCAAGTCGCGAGGCTTAGGTTGCCGGNACACGAAAGTGTGTAATAAAAAGAACGATGACTACCGAAACTGCATCAGTACACGGTCACGCCTTCGAAATTCCAAGGAAATTAGCCGATTTCTGGTTGAAATATCATCTTCAAGCCCGAGTACGAAGCGCATCAAGAAGGTTGTCCCACGTGCAGTGAAATTATCAAATGAGCTTTAACTCAAATAAAGCTAACACACCAGTAACGGTTATGCTAGAACTAATATTTAAACCTTGTTGCAACCGTGAATGAACCGAGCAAAGTTATGTGGTGCAAAAATCAGCCAGGTAATGGGTTATTAGTTGCATGTATCATTTTGGACCTCAAAATTTCTCGAAAACATCGATTTTATCGGTGTGCGATCAGAAATCAAACGAAGCACTTCATTGACGCTGTGGCACAGTTAATCGCATTCGGCTCCCGCGGATCTCACCTTTTGTTGCATGCGGTGAAGACCATTAATGGAAGAATTATTCGTGAATCTGAGAAAGCCTGTTCCATTTGTTAGTTCCGTCGCCTCAAGGCGAAGATCAGACCCTCATTGTTTGGGCTACGTAAATGTTGGATGCATTTATCATCTAATATTTTCCTAGGGGAATGAGGGCTTTGATGTTCTCGATTACATTTTTACTCTTGTTCTATGTACGTTACATTGACGTCATCCAATCGGCTATTTATTGTTAGCGTATTTGCGTTTTCTGCGTTTGTCTACATGAAGGGCTCTTGGATTTCACATATGGCATAGAAATTACCAGCCTATCAGCTTCTTGACGATTAAGTGTTATACGTTGAAACTTGTTCCATATATCCATTGCTCGTCAGAGATTTTACATACTGTTGTGAAGTATTTCATATTTTGATTTGGAGTGAGACCTCCGTTAGAAAGGTATGACCATTTACCAGTGCAGTTATTGTAGTTTAACAAGTTACACATTTCGTAATAGGATCAAAAAAGATCTTTCACTCTTTTAGGAAATAAACAAGGATACAGTGAATTTTGAGAAAAGTTGACATAGAGCTCTTGAGTTTCTATCTGGTGTGTGATTTCCGAAACTGAAAGGTTTGCTGCGTCGAAAACTGCCTTAACCTACCCCCGGATTGTCGTGCGTGGGTTATCGTGATAAGAAATATCTGTGAAACAGATTTATTCATACGCAGAGTAAAAAGGCACCGGCTTAGGTACGTTTATGGTGCTAACTAAAGAGCATCAGAAAAACAGTCAAGTAAATACCTTCTAAGTAGAAAAGAAATGATCAGAAAAAAGAAAATGTAGTGTTTTCTTGGATTGTTTGTCGAAATAACTAGGGGATAAGGTTTGAAGTGTCCATATTTGTTTACACCTTTTTGGTTATAGTACGATGCGAACGAACTAAAAGAGAACTGCAAAATGGTCAAAGGACTACGGAGAACTTCTCCCTATCCGTTTTTAATCCCTCTTCTTTGTATCACTAGATATTACATGAGGTTAGGTTCATTCTTTCTTGGTACCAAGCGACTGAGTTATCTAGCATTTCGAATAATAGTTGTATAATAGGTGATAATTTGTTTTGTTCTACAGAATTTGTTCGTTTTTTTCTGTCCATGCAGTTCACCGCGATAGCTGGAGACGTATATTGCACACCTGGTTGGTTACGTAAACGTTCTTCTGATTTCCTTTTTTCCTCCCACCCACTTTCTCACAGAACTGACGTTAACACCAATAACAGTACAAAGTAACCCATGGCTCAGGGAAATTGATACATGCGACTAGATCGGGTCTAACACAACTGATTTTGCTGAGAGCGCCTCATTTCGTCCATTTATTTTCTGCATACCTTTCACCGTTCCTCATCTTTCCGTTTTCCATCACGTGTTCTATGTACTGAACCTCAATAAACAATGTTCGCAACAATCGCCTGCTCTCTCTTTCTCTCTCCGTTGAATGAATTATTACCGCACTTGTCACTATATTATTTGATAATTTGTCTTGAACGTCCTTGGTCTGTCTGAATCAGTTGACGAAATACCGAATCCCAGTCACG